GTTTATTCAATAACCTGCTGGCAGCTGCAGCTACCTCCAAAACTTCAATGCAGGCTTCAGGCAGGGCCGCAGACTTCCATCCTCTTTGGAGATATCGACGATAAAACCCATTGAGAGAAGTCTTGATGCGTCTTCCAGGCAGTGGTGGTGCTCTTAGGTCCTGCGCCGGTGGCCGACTGCGGGACCGGTGATATTTGGGGCAGTGGCTGTGATACTTAGACCACCCTGTTGAGTTCCAGGTGATTCTTGTCTTGCCTTGACCTCGTCTAGAGGGACATCTCTTTTTGTTTTGTTTCTTGAACCCATGAGAACCGAAATAAAGGGAAGAATATCCTTTCTTGTATCAAAATCTTCCAGTAGCTCTGTCGGCTGGCACAGTGCGACAGCAGCTTCGGGTTTGCATGAAACACCGCGTCTGAAAACAGTTTTAATCTTTGTGTCAGCGCCGTTTGGTCCAAACACTGAATTTTTCTGTGCTGGGGATTTTGAAGTCACGAATAATGACACCGTGGGTTGTGGAAGCGATCCCACAATTGACTTGGGAGCGCAAAGTTTGCAGCTGGGCGTGCGTCTTAAACGAAACGGAATAGCTGGAGAAGTGAGAGAGCCTTCAGGTGCCCAGGCTTTTCCTCAGCTCTGACGCAGGGAACAAGTCGAGGAGGATTGCTGGAGGGATCCGAACAACCAAACCCTCTGCAGGGGAAAGCGCGTGGGGCCTTCAGAGCAGGGAGCGGAGCGCTGTGACTTCCTTGGGGCGGGGGACAGCTGGGTAGCGTGGCTTCGGGCGGTTTGGTGGCCGAGTTCAGTCCCCCGCTTCACAGCGTGAAGGAGCAGGCTTGTGCTCGTTTCAAGAGGGTCAGCTCTTGCTTGATAGCTTGCAGAAAATAGTTGTAAAAGGTGAACTTTGTGGGCAACTTCTGGCTCATCTCCTCTGCGTTTGTTGGGATTACTGGCCCTTTGCAGTGTGTAGTCCGGGCTTAGCCCCCTTAATGCAGCGGCTTTCCATTTGAGGGGGGGTGAGCGACGGGAAGAAAGAAGAAAGAGAAGTTTCGCCTCGGTATTCTGGTGTTCCTCTTTATTTCTGAGCACTTTCCTCCCAGCCCGGCTGTTGAGGCTCCTAAAGTGGTTCTGCAGCCTTTGCTTTCCCCTTCCCGTACTTTTAAGGAAGTTCCTCTTCCTTGTGCAGGCGTCTTCTGCTGGACTTTAGTCCGGCTGGGACCTTGCCTGGTCTGGGTTGAAGGGTGTCGTGCTAGCACGCGGTAGGCACCGTAGCTTGGAAGCTTGCGTCGACAGCCCACGCGTCTGCAAAACTGCCGAAGCTGAAGCCTCCGAGGGAGCCAGCAGCAAAACAAACCCCCTGCCTTGAGTCCCTGCGGTCCGCGCTTCCAGCGTGACGGTCCTGCCGCTGCTCCCCGGCTCTCGCAGCCCTGCGAAGATGATGATGCCCTTCGTCAAGTGGCATCCGAAACCTCATCGGAGATCCCTCGGGCCGGGGCGGTTCGTAAACTGACCGTCGGGAGTGCCCGCTGTCGGGGAGCAATGCGAGTGGGCCATGAGCTGTTCCACGCGTGGAGGCTGCACCAAAACCCCGGGGGATGGCCCCGGTGGCTTGCCGACGAGCCAAACGGCTGCTGCAGCGCAGAGCGCGGCGCCTCGCTTGCTCGCTCTTGCCTTGTCACGGCCCCCGTTGCTTCTCGCCCCGTTAACCACCGAGTTAAAATGACTGATCTGCAGAGGCTAGCGGCTGAGGGAAGGAGGAAGGGATAAAAAGCCACTCTGCTTTCTTTTCCTTTGTACCCACGCCCAGCTGTCGGATTGCCAGGTTGTTCTTGCAGTAGGATTTCTAGTTCGGAAAGTGCCTGGTTTCTCTAACGACAGGGGAGAGAAGCGCTCCGGAGGTCCAAGTCTGGCTGTTAAAGAGGGAGCTTTTTATGGAAAGCAGTGTGTGTAAAAGAGAAGATAAAAATAGCTAAGTGCGTTGCAGGTAAAGGGGAGAAAGACTTTTTTGGCAGGGGTGCTCAGAGCCGTTTTTGAAGCAATCGGACTAGTTGATGGAGACAAGTAGGAGATGTGAGTACAGGTGGATGTAGCTGTTATGCCAGCAGCATTAAAACCCGCGAAAGTAATCAGTGTCACACCTCCACTTCAGTTTTCCTGGAGGTTTTACCTTTCCAGGGCAATCACTGGCATTTCAGCTTGCTGGTCCAAATGCCCCGGGTGGCAGCTGGCACCCGGCACTGAGGACCGATTGTACCTGGAAACTCATTTTGTGGGCTCTGCTGTGCTTTGTGGATCCTTGCTCGCTTGGTGAGGTTTGGGCGGTGGTCCCGGGTGTCCGCCAGCACTCTGACCGTGGGTGAATTGGATCCGTGTCCTGCTTGGAGTCCCTGGAAATTGGGACCAACTTGGAGCAGGTAGGCGGTGGTAGTCTGCAGAAAGGGCTCCTGTGCCAAAAGCATGTCGTAGTTCTTTGGGTGCACCTCTCGACTGAACAGGAGGTTACTTCTGCCCACAAATCTGGCCTGGCAGATAGTCATCTGCTTGGTTATTTGAATTTATCACCGGCTGAGGCCATCCGCCTGTGGCAGGGGTGCGTATCACCCCATCCTGCTCCCAGAGCCAGCAAGCGGTTGGAAGGCGGGCGGCGTGGGTAACGTGTGAGCTAACAACGACCTGCGGCCGATGCTGATTTGTCTTTGCTCTCTCTCCTTTCAGGATCCCTCAGTGACACAGCTCACAAACACCAGCCAAAGTGGCTTGGATGAATTCAACCCCTTTTCTGAGAGCTCCCAGCTGGTACGTGCCGTGTGTCTTTGCGCTAGGTGGCTTGGTGGTGGGCTTAGCAGTGTAAAAGGTCCCTTGGTAAATGCAGCTTAAAAGGGAATGAGGCATCTGCAGCTGATTTCCCTGTGGACAGTGGTAGCTCACTGCATGCCTGGCAGGCTGCGAGCAACTGCTCTGGCACTGGAGCACTGATAAGCTCCCAGCTGGAGCTCTCTGCTCGCGCGGAACAGCTTCTCTCAGGCTCGCTGCTGGCTTGCGGTAAGGCTGTGTGAAGTGTGAAGGGGGAGATGTTTTGTGGCAGGACGCATCAATATTGATTTGGTCGCTGGGCTGGGAGCGGAACTGCTGCGGCGATATCATTGATGGCTTGCTGCAAGAACTTTGTTCTTGTCTCCTGGGTGCTGTCGTGCACGAGATGAGAAAAGGAGGGCGGGAAACCAGAGTAAAGCAATATTTGCAGCTCAAACAACTGATCAAAATCCCTTTCTGTTTCTCCTTTGCCTAATGCCCGTAATCCTCGGGTGCCACTCCCCCAGCGCATTGAGGAACTAACAAACCTTTGAAGATGCGGAGTTGCTTCCTGCTCGTGCTTTCCGTTTTACCAGGGCTGGAACTTGAACTGTTTGCTGACAGAAGCAACGCCTAATGTTTGTGCCCTGTTGCTTGTGTTTTGTCAGCAGACAAATGCGGGCAGCCGGCTGTCCTGCAGACGTCCGTGGAGCCCACGCCCCAGGTACGGCGACCGCTCGCTGCCACCGCCCCGAGAGCTGGGAGGGAGAGCGGGAAGGAGCTCCCGTGGGCCTCTGGAGGCGTGTGGGAGCAGGAGGAGAAGGGCATTCTCTGGGATGGGGTGTGGGGGGCTGCAGGTGGCCTTTCGAACTGACATTTGTACCTGCCTTGTGAAGCGGCTCTCCATAAGGGAATACATAGACGTGATTCTTCTTGGGCCCTTTTCCCTGTCCCTCTGGTGGCAGAGCTCACCTTGCCTTGTTGCCTGTTTGCTCTGCCTTCCCCCTGCGAGCACTGAAGTGTATCCTGCTAAAGCTTTCAGCTTAGTTCTGGTGACTGGTCAGGCGCGCTCGGTTCCAGGAGTGTAAATGCAGTGTAGCTGCACCTTGCGGCTACTGCTTAGACTGGCTGGTGAGTGCTTGGCTGCCAGGGCCACCTCGTCCAAAGAGCAGAGAAGCTGAGCCTGCTAGGTGAAAGGAGCAGCTATTGGCATAGCAAATAGGTAGCAGAGGTGCTCAGGAGGTGTGGTAGACAGCTGTCTTGGCTTTCCTTTGAACCTGCTCCCCTAGCTGGGAAGGGATTTGTCCTGGTACCTCGGGAGTGCTGCTCATGTAGAGCGGCGAGGCTAACTGGGAGGTAGGAGCAGCTGCTGGGAGAGCACGGCTTTGCTGGGAGGGAGGGGCGTAGCGGATGGGCACAGACCGGGTAGCCTCCCCAGGGCCTGTCTTCCTGTGGGATGAGAGGAGTGTCTGCAGGAGTTCTGAATTGATCTTGGGTTTCATCCTCCAGCGAGTAAGGCAGACAGCCTGAAGATGTTTCAGGTCCAGTTTGGCGTCTGGTGGGTTTGCTGGTGGTGTTGCCACTGCCTCGGTTAGGGAAGGACTTACCTTTTTCTCGCCCTGCTTTAGGCTGTGGCTGCGGCAGCAGGGGCCGGGCTGCTTCAGCAGCAGGCAGAATTAGAGAGGAAGGCAGCAGAGTTGGAGAAGAAGGAAAGGGAGTTGCAGAGTAACGCAGCCAGCATTAATCGTGAGTATCCTGCCCTGCCCACAGCGGAGGTGGTGCCCGGGGAAGCCCGGATCACTTGGTGCGTCAGGATTTGATGAAGGCTCAGTCTGCCCAAGTACGCGCAGCTTTCTACAAGCCGTGTGTATCTTCCTCTAGACCCTCACAGCTGTGGGAGCCCTTCTGGGACTGTGACTGCCATCCCATAAGTTACAAGGTGGGAAAGGAGCTCAGAGATGAGATGCTGGAGACAAGCTCTGGTGGGTCTCCGCCCTCAGGCACGCTCTCAGCATCTGCACTCGGCCACATCAAGGTCTTCAAACACCGGTTTTGTGTCCGTGTCTGAGCTGTTGTGTGGCGCTGCCATGTTAAGGCTTTTCACTGAGAGAAATAAAGCTCTTTTTTTCAGTCTGGAGGCTCTCAACCACAACAAAACGGTATTTTCCCCTAATCTTACTTTTAAATGGCTGAATTTGGACTTGCTGTGCCGAGTGGCGATGGTTGCGATGGCCTTTTGGCCAGGGCAGGGGGATTCTGCCTCCCACGGAGGAAAGCCCTCATGCTAGGCCGGTCACATCCCTGCCATGCTGCCCACTCAAACCTGGCTACGTACCAAGACCTCGCCTCTTCCGAGGATTTAATGTCCGTATATATGAATGGCTGCTTGCAAGCTACGGCCTGTGAATTAGTCTGTCAACGAGAGAAGGGCAAGTGAAGAACGGCTCCTTTCTCCTTTCCGCAGCGAGGCAGAACAACTGGCCCCCCCTTCCCAAAAGGTGTCCGATCAAGCCGTGTTTTTATCAGGATTTTTCTGCAGACATCCCAGCTGACTACCAGCGGATATGCAAGATGCTGTATTACTTGTGGATGCGTGAGTAACAGCTTGAACCGCGGCAAAGATTTCTTTTCAAGAGGGTTGTGTATCCAGTGCTGAGCTTTGAGCTACAGTAGATCCTGTAGCTGTTGTCTGCGAGGGTGAAATGATGTCTCCCTTCCTTTATAAAAGGAAGTGTAAAGGACTCCAAGCTTATGCTTTGGGAGTAGCTGATCCATGGCTGAGTTTCGATTGTTGTGTGATGGAGACTTGAACAGCTCTCCTGAGACTCGGAAAGACAGCGGATAGCGCGGTTCAGGGATCGGGTGCAAAAGAGTCTCGACCATATTTGTCAGTTCTGGTGCTCTGAAAAGGCTGCGGATTCGGTTGTGAGCAGCAGGGTCAGATGAGGTTCTGGGGCTGAGCTCTGTTTTCCTTTCGAGGGAGGCGAGGAAATTAGGTGGCCCAAAGTCCCTGTAATTTCCGCAGAGCTCCGCGTGTTCAGTGAGAGATTAGGGATGCTGCTGAGTTTCCCAAGAACTGCCTGACGTGTTTTTCTCTCTCTCTCCCCCGTCCTGAACAGTGCATTCGATTACCCTGCTCCTAAACCTGCTTGCTTGCCTGGCGTGGTTCACAGTCCAGACGGAAAGAGGAGTAGACTTCGGTCTCTCCATCCTGTGGTTTATTTTATTCACCCCTTGTGCCTTTCTCTGTTGGTACCGACCGATCTACAAAGCTTTCAGGCAAGTACTGTTTTCTTCTTTAATGGGGTTATATCTTTTAATGGGAGGAGCTTTGGGTGTATCTGTTCCGACTGTATCTTGCCTGCAGGGTTTTTCCAGCTCTTTGCATCATTAAATAGATCAAACCCACTTGTTCCTAAACATATGAAAAGTATCTGATGGAACATGATTGTGGTGGTCCTTTTTGATCTCGAAAGCCAAGCCTAGCCAGTTGTAGGGTCCCGCATTTTTATTCATTTCTGAGAAACTGGTACATTAATGCGTTGAGTGTGATGCGTGTGTTAAGGAAGCTGCCTTCACCCCACCTTGCACTGGGCAGAGCAGTGGTTTTGCGATATGCGGTGGACTTGTTTTCAGTTGCTTTGCTGAGCCAGCAGTGTGCCCTGGCTGCCAAGAAGGCCAATGGGATCCTGAGGTGCATCAAGAGGAGTGTGGCCAGCAGGTCGAGGGAGGTTCTGCTTCCCCTCTACTCTGCCCTGGTGAGGCCCCATCTGGAGAACTCTGTCCAGTTCTGGGCTCCCCAGTTCAAGAAA